GTGATGTGTTTCCTCCAGCATGGCCACACCTTCTAAGACCTCCCAAAACAGCACGACCAACTGGTGACAAAATGTCCAAATACTTGGAACCTATGGGGGACATTCTCATTCAAACCAGCACACACATCTTCAATATAAATAGACCTATGCATGGCTATCATTGTTTAAATGCTGATTTTGTAAAGTAAGAGCACCTCAGTGGATGATGATGATGATGGTGACATAGATGGTCATACTTATATGCATTCTCTTACTTAATACAAAGATCAAGAGAAGTAGGTGGTCATTGTCCTAGCTGGTTTTAACTGTCAACTTGGCACAGCCTTACAGTCATCTGAGAGGAGAGCCTCGATTGAAGAGTTTTCTAGGTCAGATTGGCCTGTGTTGTCTGTGGAGGATCATCGTGATTATCAATTGATTGAGGGGGGCCTGGCCCACTATGTGTGGTACTGTCTCTAGGCAGGTTGTCCTGGGTTATGTAAGAAAGGTAGCAAAGTATGGGACTGTGAGCAGTCAGAGAGCATGCCAGTAAGCTGGGCTCATCTATGCTTTCTGCTTCAAGTTTCTGCCCTGGCTGCCCTTGGTGGTAGGACTGTGATTGGGAACTGTAAGCAGAGAAACCCTGTCCTTCCCTAAACTGACTTCAGCCATGGTGTTTGTCACAGCAATAAAAGGGGACCTAGAACACGACATTTTCCCCATTTGATAAATGCAGAAAGGAAAAACTTCGGCAGCATTGCCTGTGGTCAGCATGCTAGTGAGTGATACGGGAGAAGGTTAATTCAAATCTAGATTTACATAGCCAGATAAGACTTCGTGCACATAATTAAACTTGTAAATAAAAATCACATACACTCAGATCCATACCCAGGCTTTGGAGATAATACATGCTATACCAGAGGGAATGTAAAACCTTTCTGAATGACGTTACATACTTAACTTCCTTCTTTTCATTTATCCTTCAGAAGTTTCCAATATGTAACTTAGAGGATGTTAAAGAAGTAAATGATGGCTGCTCTTGTATTCAATTTCTGTTTTTCTATTTCTGCCATATCACCTTTTTACAAATGCATTTCCTGGTCCCTGATAGTCTCCTTAAGTGTTATCATTTTACATAAACAAACTTGCACTCTGTTGTGTTCCAACCTTACACATTGGTTTGATAGTAGCACATTTCATTAATTAAGAATAGTTATCTAGTTATATCTTTCCCCTCTTTATAATTGAACTTAAACTTATAAGAAAATTGAAATTGCTCTATAAATATAAATGTATGCCAAAGTAACAATATACATTTATAACACTAGTCTGATCTCCTTCTTTCAAGAAGTTGGAATAAACTAATTTACATATCTTTGTTTAAAGATTTAATTGCTGTATATTCATTATAGAGAATACAGGGTATTGTATGGCATCTTCATAAATGTAATGTGACCGTGTGCCATGCCCCCGATGTCAGTCTAATCTCTCCCATAACTTACACTCTTAGTGCACTACTAAAAGTGTTTCAATAACTAACAACTTCAAACTATGTCCTATAGGAAAACTGCAAAGAAATTCAGTTTTTGGTATGTGGGCAAGAAGCACATTTAACACAGAAATGCTTCACTAAAGCGTCTTTGAAATTGAGAATTTTTCTAATAAGAGAGCTCTACAGAGGTGCCAACGTCGTAAATATCTCACCACACAAATATGGAGACCTTTTTTTTTCACACAGAGCTCTGTCCCCTTTCAAAGTTTAGTGGGTCCATTAGAGCAGGCTCATCTTAGAGTAGAGAATCGGTTTTTAACAGAAGCAGTGTACATCACTGGTGACGCTGGGCAGGGTATTGGTCTCCCTTTTAATCCGTGCTGCCTGAGGAGACGGGCACAGACCTCGGCTTTTGGTTCTAAGCCATTAGAAGCTCTCGCTGAATTGGGCTTCCAAGCAAAGGTAGCAAAAAGTGGGCTGCGCCGGCCTTCCTCAACTTGCTGTCAGGGGACAGTCCTTCATGCTTTAGGCATAGTGTTCCTCTTCTCATCCATAAGATTTCAATGGACTAAAGCATGCCCTCTATAGAGAAGTCATGGCAAGTGTAAAGATAGCCATACGTGATTGTGGTACTGCAGAAGAAGTCTTTTAAATGCATCATCTGAACACAGTTTAACTTAAAATGCAACAGTGCATTTGCTAAAATCCTTGTTGATAGCACAAGGAGATTTATACTATTAAAACTTTAGAAGGCTTATTCATGCCAAACAGATTGTTTATGTTTAAAATGAGTATTTATAGATGGTTTTTGAGTTACGAAGCAATCCTTATCTTTATACAAACACAATTAACAATTTGCAAAGTAATGCAGTGCTTTTAGAAAATATGTGGGTGTAAGTTGGACTGTTGGCTCTTCTTTCAGAATCTGCCTGATGACTCCATACACTGTGGTCTGACTACCATGTACTACCATATACTACCATGTACTACCATGCTGTGATCTTGTGTAATAAACACCTGGGCACAGTGGAAGTCTGGCTGATTGCACGAATTTGTGAGACTTCAACTGGGTAATTAATATTCAGTTTGGAATTCACAAGATTTAAAAGTAGCAAAAAATATCCCTTTCAAGATGTAAATTATAAAAGCAGAAAATTTCAAATTTCTGCATGTAACCTTTTCCCATGATGTTTAGAGTATTCCCATCATTTACTTTCTTGGATGCTTTACTTTCTATGGAAAAATTTCTGAGCATCTTTTATATGGTTACTTAAACTTAATATAAGAAATTAAACTTTTGGGATTCTACCCTCCCTCCCTCTTTCTTTCTTTCTTTCTTTCTTTCTTTCTTTCTTTCTTTCTTTCTTTTTCTTTCTCAGAATGTCAGACATGATATGTTCTGTCTGTTTTAACTGTAACATGATAGGTTGCTTTGCTGATATAATTTAATGATTATAAGCTTTAATGTATTATCCAAAAATCCCATTTTTGGTCTAATTCTGTAACGTAAAATGTACAGTTAATTTTTAGTCTTTTATATACATGTGTCTGTGGTTTAGACGATGGACTAGGCAGGCTTATGCCAAGAAAGAAAGAAAAATCCATTTTAAAATATGACACAGCCAAGTGTGGTGGGGTACACCTGCAACCCCAGTACTAGGGAGGCTGAAGTGGCTGGGTCATGACTTCCAGGGCAGGATGTACCACATAGCAAGTTTCAGGCCAGCCTGGGCTACATAGCAAGCTCATGTCTTAAACAGAAAATATAAACAGAATAATAAGAGCAAAATATGTTGAATTCCAGCATCTGACATTATTTTACACCCTAAATAAACAAGAAACTAGGTAACACCTTCATTTTCTCTCCTCCCCTTGAGATGCTCGCACAGTGACTGAGCACAACATTAATACATCCTTTTCCTTCCTGCTCTGCCCCATCCCTCATTATTTTCACATTACTCTTGTCAAATATTTGAAGTCTGTGTTCCTTTAAGTATGGTATTAGGTATTTCTTTTTCTTTTTTTTTTTTTTTTAAGAATTCTTCAATTGAAAGATACAGTTTTTTTGTTTTTAAATATTTGTTTTTATGATATGTGTATGAGTGTATTGTCTGCATGTATGTAAGTACACTCGTGTTGCATAATGCCTGCGGAGGTCAGAAGGGGGTATTGGATCCCCTGGAACTGGTTAAGAATGGTATTAGCCAACATGTGGGTTCTGGGAACTGAACCCGTCTGCTGTTAAGAGTAGCCAGTGCTCTTAACTGCTGAGCCATCTCTCTGGCCCCAGGTATTTCTTTAATATTCAATTTACTTAGATAGTCTGTTGTACATATATATGTGGGTACATGGGATAATTTGATGTGTGTATACAATGTATAAATATCATATCAGGGGAATAGAATGCCATTTCTTTAAACATGTATCAAGTCATTGTGTTGGGAATTTCTGAAGTCTTTTCTAATCCCTCATAAAACTACTACAGAGTTTTATAGGAACATAAGAAATAGATCTTATAGCCTGGCACTCTTGTGGCTGCTTATAATCCTAGCACTTGAAAGGTAGAAGAGGCAGGAAGATCAAGAATTCAAGGGCTCCTTAACTACATAGTAGCAAGTTTGAGGCCAGATTGGGCTACATGACACCCGATCTCCCCTAAGAAGGCAGCAAGAAAAACAAATACATCTTAGTAAAAGTTTGCACAAAATATCTACTGTTAAACGTTTGTTATTCTTGCTTCTGGTTCTTCTGGGTCATAGGCAAGATTTCTTAATTTGATTTTAAATCAAAGCTCTTCATTTCTTTTGTATGGTCTTTAGATATTTTTTTATTAGACATACTTATTTTAAAAGACAGAGTAGAACATTTTATTTTTGTAAGCCAAGAAGCAGATGGGTATTTATTATACACAGACTTCAAGAAGGCAGTAGGTCAAGGAGGAACTGGGTTTATCTTTTCAAAGTGTAGTTTATATAGGTCAGGCACTGAAGGGCAGTAGAGGCAGATTTGAGGAAGTAGGCTAAAGCTAAAGGCAAGTGTAATCAGTGGAGAAAAAGAATGTGATTTGATCTATTTTGAATTTTAGGGGTATTCTATATTGAATAAATATGTAATTAGATGAAGAGATTAATTGATTCAGTTGCATGGTAACTTGGACCTTGTGCAAGGCTAGGATAAAACAGAAGATTCTTGATGTCTGTATTTGTGGGAACAGTGACATAAAATGCTGAAAACATAGAAAATGAAATCATTTTATTTATTTATTATTTTGAGACTGGTTCTCCCTGCAGCTCTGGCCTAAAACTCACTGTGTAGACCAGGCTGGCCTCAATCTCACAGAGATCCAACTGCTTCTGCCTCCTGAGTGCAGGGACTAAAGGCATGCAACACCATGCCCACTGAATCATTATTTCAAAGAAAATGATCTTAGGACACCTTCGTAATTGCATCAAACAATCACCATTAACTCAACTTACTTTCAGAGCAATTAGAGGCATGCAGATGGAGCTGTGATGCTATAAATTCTTACCTGCCTCATTTGTACGGATCATTCGAGATGGCACGCTTGGATCCCCGGTCCCAATTGGATTGGTGGCCACCACTCGGAATTCATATTCCACCCAGGGGTTTAGGTCCACAGCCATGGCTGACTCCATGTCCCCCGTTATGATTTCTGGAACTAGAGAAGGGGAGGATATTTCATTAGGAGGACAGGGGAAACGTTGCAATTACTGATCCCGATTCCTCATGGTGCAGGATCAGCATACAAACCTGCACGTGTTTTCTGGGCCTCTCGCTTCTTTCCGGTCCTCACCCTTTCTTTCTGCTTCACTTACCAGCCATGCTCCTTGAGTTGTGTCAAGAGCTTGCTGTATCTGATGGTTCCCTTCCCTTATCTCTTGAACCCACCCCAGTCAGCTCTGATTTCCAGCTTCCCACCAGATCTTCTAGCAACGTTACCAATAGTTTCTGCTAATAGAAGTCCAGAGTCAGGTCTCTAACCCTTCTCTTTGGTGACTTGTCACCAGCCCTTGACAAAATCCACACTCTTCCTTTTGAAGCACTTCTTACAGCTTAGCTTTAGTGTCTCTTCTCCATGGCTACAGATACCTTACTAGTCCCCAGTGCTGATGTCTTTCCTATTCCAGATGTGTCCTGGCTCTACTAACGCTGTTATTTTCCTGCCTGGTGATCTTGTCCCTAACCTCTGGATGCCACTGAAACTGATATTTTCATTCAGGGATTTCTTCCTGGTTTCTGGATTCATGCATCCAACAGCCAACCAGACCTATCTTCTAGAATACAGTTGTGAATCACTCTTAGGGACTCACAATTGTCTTCATACAGATGTTGTAGGCAAAATCCAGGGGCCATCTAGGTCCTCTCTCTCCCTTGTCCCATTTCAGTCCATAAACAAATTAGGTATCTATGGCTTCAAGATACGTTGGTTTCTCCAGTTCACTTTGTAAATAAAGTTCTTAAGAGCTGTCTGTAGAAATTTTTGTTTCATTGTGGATTGAATGCTTGTCAGACTTACTGCCTTCACATAACTGAAACCTTGATCGTGCAGGTGGCCACTGCCCTGTACATGACTGAAACCCATGATCAGACTCAGTCAGTCCCCATCTTCAGGACATAAATGCAACACAGACACTCTCAGTTACTCTCTTTTCCTTGATGTACTTCTGGTTTTCTAGGAGTTCACTGTAGTTGACATTTTTACTTCAATAGCTGCTTCCTTTGGGCTGTTCCCTCTCTGCTAAACCCCCTTGCTTTTAATAATTTTCTTCAATTTATATGTATTTTCTTAGAATTCATATGTTCTATGATTTGTGTTTGTGTGTGTGTGTGTGTGTGTGTGTGTGTGTGTGTTGGGGGGGTAGTATATGTGAGTGGGCCTGTGCACATGGCCATGCGTGTGCTCGTAGAGACCTGAGCAGGATGTAAGACGTCTTCCTCTATCACTCTCTTCCTTCCTGTCTTGAGACATGTCTCTTACTGACCTGGAATCCCATAGCTTTGGCTAGCCTGGCTGGAGAGAAGAGCAAGCTCTCAGGATTGCCTGTCGCTATCACTGAAAGCTGGGGTCATAAGCATGTGCAGCCGTGCCCGGCGTTTTATATGGGCACAGAGACTTGAAATCAGCTTCTCCTGCTTACAGAGCAAGTGATCTTACCACTGAGATGTCTCCCCAGCCCTATGTTCCATGATTTTAAGCATAATTTATATATCCATAAATTTTCAATTTATAACTTTATCAAAAACATCTCAAAGTCTAGTTGTATATATCAAAATGCTTACTTAATTCCCGTTGGAATGTATCACAGATACATCCATCTTGATAACTGCCCGACTGGGATGTCTCATTTCCAGACAGGGTACTCCAGTTACACACCTCCCCATGTGACTTCACAGGAATTCTACACTAGACTTGGCCAGAAAAAATACCCTATGACCATCCTTGATTTATATTCCTCTTATGGATTTTACATTCAGATTGTTGGGAATTCCCAACTTTCTACATATTTTCAAATTCTGGCATTTCTTTTCACCTACTTCTGTCACAGAAGAACTGTCAACAATAGTTCCCTAACCAGTTTCCTGACCAGCTGCTGGTCCTTCCTGCATTCTATTCAGCATAACCTGCACTTAGAATATCAATCTTCAGTGTGTCTCCATTTCCTTTAGGATACCCCGTGTGATTGGCCCTGCCAATGCCTCCCCTAGCTCCTCTTCTAGCAAGTCCCTGGGACCTCGTTCTGCTCCTCTCTTGTTTTTGAAAGCTCCAGTACATAATAGTTCTGATGTTTTGGCATTGGGTCTTCTTTCTAGCTGGGGCTGATATCCCCGGGCACTGGCCTGCTGGAATCCTTGTCACCTTTAAAGTTCACTTAAATGTACCATGTCATTAGTGTACACTAATCATTTTATTTCACAGCTCCTGCTATCAACTGAACTCTGTTCTCCTAAAATTTCTATGTCGAAGGTTTAACCTGCTGTATTTGGAGATGGATTTACTTCTAAGGAAGTAAAGTTAAATGCAATCTTGAGTATGTTTTTGTCTTTAACACAGTAATTGGGAGGCAGAAGCAGGTGGATCTCTGTGAGATTGAGGCTAGTTCCGGGCCAGCTAGGGCTACAGGGAGACACTGTCTCAAAAAGAGAAAAATAGAGTGGTGTTTTCATTTTAGTGTCCCTATAAGACAGCAGAGTGCTTGTGTACATGTATGTACAGAAATCTCTCCCACACATACTTCTCTATGTCATAGGGTGTTAAGAAGGTAAGTATCTGTCAGCCAAGAAGAGAGTCCTCGTCAGGAAGCAAGCTGACCATCACTTTGCTCTTAGCATTTCCAACCTCCAAAAGGGTGAGAAAGTGCATTCTGCTGTAATGTACGCAGGATGTGGGTTTCTTTTTTAATATGTATTTATGCACATTAGTGCCTTGGCATGCATATAGAGGTCAGAGGACAACTTGTGGAAGATGGTTCGCTCCTTCCACCATATGGTCCTGAGTATTGAACTTAAATTATCAGGCTTGGCAGCAAGCACCTTTATCTACTGAGCCATCTCCCAGGTCCTTGAGTCTGTAGTATTTTTATGGAAATCAAGCTGACCGGTGTACTCCGGCCCCAGTAGTTTTAATACTTCTTACTCAACATATTTCTCATTTCTTAATTACTCCCATAGTTTTCTTTAACTTCTCTATCACTCTTCCACTGTATGACTAAAACTGTCAAAATTAACTTCTGTATGAATGCTGATATAATTACTACTGGATTTATGTTACAAAATAAATACACATTCTTCTTAGATTACACTTTTGTGTCTTCTTGATATAGACGAAGCATAAGTGCAAATTTCATCTTCACTAAGCTATCTTGAATTCTAAGTTGTCTTTCAAATGAAAAACCTATATGCTACTAAATTTGAAAACTTAAAAGAAATGGATGGATAGCTAAAGGCATGGGAACCACCAAAACTAAACCAAGAAGAGATTAACAGCTTAAACAGACCCATAACACAAAAAGAAATTG